TGTCCGGGCCCCTTGTCCGCAATCCGTTGTATCTTGTTTTTTTTTGTGATGCCCAAATCCACCTTGCTGGTGATGAACGGGTGAGAAGAGACTGTTGTGTTGAAGTCTTTCAGCTCTCTTAAAGCTGTCCTACATGCGCAATCCCTGCAAACGTACCACGTTCAGGGTCTGTGAGACAGCCTGCAAGTTCTGGCTTTTGCGTCGCAAGAGGTCTCTAGAAGGCCCATGGTTTGTTGTTAGGCCTTGTCTCGGATCAATGTCTTTGCTCCAGCATAGTGACGTCTTGAACGCTCCCGCCCACTGGAAAAGCTATCGATGGTAGAATGAACGTGGTACGAGAAGGTGCAATGAACGTGGTACTAGAGTGATTCAAGAGAATCAGTTAGCACTGCAGGCTCAGTGCTAGATTGCTTCCCGATAGCAAACAAATTGAGGGGCTGCCAAGCCGTGTAAGACCCCATTTAGCAAGACCGACAGAAACCAAGAAGTCTTGAGAAATAATTGTTTGGCTCTTCCGTTTCCGGTAGCTTGGGTATGGCTGTTGGCTCCTAGTGACATTGGCCACAAGAAGCACGCACATGTTTGCAATGTTTGGAGATCGTCAGGCCCATTGGCCGACCCAGCATCATTTGATTGCCTAAAGCCTTGCGCCCCACGATTCTGCGGACAGAAGTTCAGCGAGTACATCATGGTACACCAAATGAGCAGCAGAACTGATTTATTATATGGCAAAGCAAAATGCGCCACGTCAAAAATTTTGATGAAAGGGTATACCTGGACAGTCCTTGAGCCGCATAATTTTCGATCTTTGTGGATTTTCGGGTGCGGGCCTAAAAATCACTTTTGGGCTGAGAGTGATGGATTCAATGACACAGTTTTGGTGTCAAAAAGTTGGTGTTTCGCATCTTTTCTGCGTCATTTTGCGTCATATTTTTGGTCCTTCCAAATGTGACTGACAGAGGGCAAATTCAGCAATTGTTCGATTTTTGGTCGCTCACTACTTTTCAGCCCAGACCAAAACAAAATGCAGCTTTTGGATGTCCAGGTATGAAAAGAATCCCGCAAAAGTGGCGACTTGGATTGCTTCCGCGAAAGCGAGCGCGAAGGTCATGGATATCACATTTCGTGGAAGCATGGTTTTGCTGTTGGAGATATTGAGCCATACCGCCGGATCTGATCGTTACCCTCTGGTAAACTAACATAGCTATTGAAAATTGCCATTTATAGTGGATTTACCCATTGAAACTTGTGATTTTCCATAGTTAGATTAGTATACCAGAGGGTAGATATTGTAACGGGTGGGGTATCAGCAGGAAACTCATGTAGAGCCTTTCTTTCGGCACATGCTACCAATGGAAGAAGCGCAGGGCGCAGAACTTGCAGTGGGATGTGCCCCGTTCCTGCTTTCCTTGAGCTGTCGCCGAGCACATGTCCCGCGGAAAATTGGATCATTTTGGCGTGCCGTCACCTTTGAAAAAGTGAAAGCGGTTGCCTGCGGTCTTGTCAAGTCACAGCTGCCCGGCTCAACATATCTGACTATTTGACTGGTCCTTTGCCTTTGCTGATCGTCTCAGTTTCCGAAAAAGCCAACGCAAATGTTCAGGGATCTGGTTGAAGTCTGCTTTATCTTGAGAGCCCGTCAGTTGCCCAAGGCGGTCGCCCAAGGCGAATCCTGTGGTGACTGTGCCAAGCACGTGCAACATCCTTATACCATCTTATACCGCTGAAGGGGATCGTTTGTGTTCACTTTGTGGAAACATCAACTGTAACATGCTAAAGCCTTTGCAGCTGCACATGTTGCACCATCTTCAATTGTCCTTGCTGGCAGTGGCCTATGCAAAGTCGACAAGAATTGTTTTGGCATTCGATTCTGAAATCTGCGACCAAAGTCAAGCGGAATTCTTGAGGTTCTGTCCAATCAAGTGCAACCCTGCGAGACATGTAACAAGCAACCTCATGGGCGGAGGCAGTTGGCAACCTGTTTGTCTCTCATGCAGTGTCTCTGCATGCTTGAGACCTCTTCAGATGCAATCAGCTTGGCTTTCTTCCCTTGCAAAGCTGGGAGGACGTGTCTCTTGTCCATGCTGTGCTTGCGCATTTTCAAGCCTAACAGGCGCAGGAAAGGTAATGCTGGCAGGCTTCAGGAAAGGTAATGCTGGCAGGCTTATTCACACGCATTCCTCGCCATACTTTTCCAAGAGGTTGCGCAATTCTTGTTTGTGCAGGTTTGGCGCTAGACTGCATTCTTGTTAGTTTCCGAATGAGTATCTTGATTGCTGACTTCAAAGGTGCCTCCTGGCAGAATAGTCTGTTGATGCTGTGACAGTTGTGCTTCCGACGCTGGGTGAGATTTTTGGGCCGGTGGTGGCAAAAAGCCTACGTGCTGCTGGTGCTGCTTGAATCCTCAGGATTTTGGTGCTGAAATTGTCGGATTGCCCGGATTGAACGTTCGGCAGCCTTTCTTGTGTCGCTGGAAGCTTAGCACCCTGGATTTGCTGCATAGCTATGGCTCAACTGACTGGTGTCCTCGGCCGGGATACCTTAGAATTTCTTCTAAGTTGTTCTACATTTTTTAGCATGTTCACCTTTGGTACAAGGGAATCCTCTGAGTTTTGGAGGTGGCCCAAGCCACGTGTCTTCAATGTCTGCGATATAGAGATGCGATAGACGCGAGGTGCCAGGCTTTTTCTCCTGCACCTAGGATGGCGCTGGCTTCCAAATAGGATGTTTGGCAGATGGAGGTTTGACCTCGTTTTCTGGTGCTTTGACCACTTCTGTGATGTCACTCTGGTCTTGGGAGATGATTTTGATCCGATGCTTCGAGTTAGTTAGAGTTAGATTCTTTCTCCTGTCAACATCAAGTAGAATGGCTGTTCCGGACAAGTCCACGTGTCACACAGGTCTCTATCCAATTGTACGATTTAATTCGGCGTCACGACGTCACCCCCGAATTAATGAGGCAGAATTCTGAAATTAAGGGGATATGTACATAAAGTATCTAACCCTCTGCCTGTACCCGATCCCGCTTGCTCGCGAAGCGCATTGTTGACAACGAGCTCTTGGTTGAGGCGTGAACGGGTGAGAGAGGGGAGAGACGAAAAGGAGGTTGGGAAAAGAGTTGAAAGTGCTTGGAGTTGCTGAAAGGGCAGTGAAAAGAATCACATGCACACTGCAATGTGGTTCCTCGGCATGGCTTTCTGGTTTCCTATTCTTTCTTTTCTTGGTTGAGCGATCCGGATGTGTGCTGCCAGGCAAAGCGTGTTCAACGACCTCAACCTGGGCAACGACGTTTTCGTTTTTCAGACGGCCTCACTTAATTTCATTTTAATTTTAATTTATTGAAAACAAGGGACGACCCAAGAAATATTGTAAATTGGTTAGGATGATCATTGGCGTCAAATCTCAGGAACCTGTGAGACATGTAACGTGCAAACTCATGGGCGGAGGCAGTTGGCAACCTGTTTGTCTGAAACGCAGTGTTTCTGCATGCTTGACACCCAGCCTGCGAGCCGCATCGCTTGTTAAGATGCAATCAGCTTGGCTTAAATCTCTGCAAAGCTGGGAGGACGTGTCTCTTGTCCATGCTGTGCTTGCGCATTTTCAAGCCCAACAGGTGCAGGAAAGGTAATGCTGGCCGGCTTCAGGAAAGGTAATGCTGGCAGGCTTACTCCTGGTCATACTTTCCCAAGAGGTTGCCGCAATTCTTGTTTGTGCAGGTGGCCCTCCGTAGACTGCCTCCTGGCAGTTGTGCTCATGCTTTCAAGTTTGCAATCGAATGCACGTCAACCGAATTTTGCTGGTAAAGCTTCTCAAAGAAATCGGAACGTTTAGAATTCGTGATTGGACCGCATGGGCTGTCCCTCACGGCTGAGAAGATACCTGGTTCTGTGGCTCAGACCTTGGCGCAGCTTTGCCCCCCGTCAGAGACAGCAGCTGCCCATCATGGGTTGGTTTGCCCATTCCGTCCTTTAAGAGTCTCTGATGCACAACTGGTTTGCTGCAAATGGGTAATGCTGCCGACTCTTGGAGTTAGAAAGACATAGAAAGACGGATGTATCACAAAGAAATGTTGCAGCCCTCCAACGCCAGGCTGCTGCAAACCAAATCATGGCAATCCTGCCCAGGGGTTGTCGTGCAGCTCTACCGAAGGCATGTCGTGCAAAGACACCATGCAGAGTGAGTGTTGTTGCCGTTACCGTTTGTGCTGCTGGCGCAAGTGGCACTTGGGATATTTACAGCCAAATTGCCAGCCGACTCAAATCTCTACAGGCGCGCTATGCAGCTGATCACTGTCGGCATGTCGATCGCAAGGTTTCGTGTGAACGTCTTGGCGAAGAGCCACACCAAGAGGCCGAGCGGTTCTCGTTGTCCAGGGTGGAAAGCATGAGCAGAGGATCATGAGATTAAATGATTTGCGGCTAAAAATATAGAAATTAATTGCTCTTGTCCGGAATGAAGACTAATGAAGCAGAAAACGGTAGGAACAGGTAGCTGCAGGTGATTGGTACTTGTGCAACCACTGTGCTAGGGCGAACCTTTAAGGAGATGTAAGGAGTAAGCAGCCCTAGTGACTTGGACTTGCCATTTCCTTGTGACAGGTGAGTGGGCGGCCTGATGCACAACAGCTTCCGCTTAGAGGAAAATGGAGACAGGCGCGTCTTGGCCATATAAGTCGCTAGATAGATCTGGTGGCAGTGGGCTTGCACGATTCCATGAAGCAGGTTTACGTTTTAAGCGCTTTTCGGTCTTGTCTTCCTAGTTGTCCTGCTACTGCATGTCACTCCGCAAGATACGACCTTCGGTTTCCGAAGTGGAAATTGGTTTCTATCAGTTTCAATCCTCCCCTGATATCAATCAAGTCTAAATATCACCCTGAAAATATGGTTTTGTTTGGGCTCCGAAACCTTGGATGTGCATTCCTGCGTCCCTGCCACTTTTCTCTTCTCCGCATTTTGGGCTGGAGAAACTCCAAGCGTTGCGAGCGTCAGCGCTTCGGCGTCATGGCGGTCTGCTGTGGTGCAGACAGGATGGCTACGAAGGTGGGGGAAGCCAAGCCGGTGATCATGCAGCGACTGGTGGAGGAGATACCAGTGGTGGGTCTGAATGCCTGGTGCTTGGGTACGCTAGTTTTGGGGTGCTTAACTAAGACCTCCCACAAAATGCCAAAATCATTGGTTCTAATTCTAAGATATTTGCTTCCAGCACGTTTTTCAAAGGGTTACAGTACAATCCCCAAAGTGGAGGATGAAAGAAGAAACGCGTGGCAAAGATGTCCTTCTAGAATTCTTTTTTAGACTTTAAACACAAACATTTTTTCTCACTTGGCAGGTGGGGGTCTCTCAATTTTATCTCGTCTGCTGCTCCCCCGCTCTTCGTCCACCACCCCTCCGCTCTTCGTCCCTCCACCTGCGGAGCGCACCTCTTGTGCCTCTGCGCCGCTCAGCTACCTCAAGCTCAGCCCATCGCCGGACCCGAATTTTATCGCATTATATCGCGAACCGAACCTGCGCGCTATCCTGGCTCTGCAGCTTGCCGGACGCGAATATTATCAACTAGACTGTCAGATATAGACAGTCAGGTCAAATGTCAGATAAAATGCCTGTTGGTGGGGGTCACTCGAAGTAAGTAAGATAAATAGTTTTCTTTCCACAAGGCGACAACGCCATATTTTTTCAAAAATTGCTTGCGTAATGCTTGCGTGCTGTTTAGTTTCTTTCAAATGGAACCCAACCCAACGATGGAAATTGTTCAATCCATTCATTGTTGGCCATCACCAGGTTATAACATGTTATAACCACAGATAACGAAAATATTCAATAAACAACATTTTGTTGGTGATTCAGCCGCCGGTCTAAACTTACAAGCACCCATAGACTTGATTATTTTGATGCTAAAATTGCGGTTTGTAGCCATGAAATAACAGAACATGTTGGTTGAATCACTTTTGCTGGTTCAATCCCCGTTTCCAGCCGCACGTGCGCCTATCGGTTTGGATAAAAACCTATTACGCCATATTTTTCGGGGTTGCACATCCAATCAATCCCATCTATTTTGATGTGAGCAGGAGGGGCCTGCAGATATATATATATATATATATATGTGGCCCAGCGTCTCGTGGTCCCCCCCCGCCCGAGAACGATGGCCGCAACCCATGCTGAGCCAAGCCTTTGCCGTTCCAGCCTTGGGGTTTCGGATGAGATGTGCATAGCACGGCCTGCGCATTTGGCACTGTGAGAAAATATCGCAGAACCAGAATTGCAAAGACGGCTTTGCAATCAAAATCCATTGGGCATGGCCCTTTGTGGATTTCAGCGTTCGAATGCGTTTGAATTTTCTTGATCAAATCCCCTGAGATTCGCGTTGGTGGTGAAATCATGTGGTGAAATTTTCGCGCATTTTCCGTTTCGGACCGCAGGTGCCAAGGGCGGCCGGGCCCAGGTCGAGGACCACCTCGCGAGGAGAATTGTTCCAGCGACTTTTGCAGCGAGGAAAAGGAGAGCTTGTGCCACAACCCATTAGGCCCCTGGGATGTTTTTTATGGGGTCTGGGGGTGGAGTCTTGTTTGCGGGTCGTTGCGTGTTGCGGGTCTCTAATCGACCCTTGCTGTACCCATAGGAATTGCTATAAAAAGTGACATTTTCAAGTTGCGAACGTAGCAGGTGCGGGACTTCGTGTCTCAAGTTGCGAAAATGTATTCGACGTGGCAGGCGTGGGACTTCGTGGCAATCAGGACAAGAGTGTGAAGTGTGGAGTGTGAACTGTGAATTGAAGAGTGTGAAGTGTGGAGTGTGAAGTGTGAAGTGTGGAGTTTGAAGTGTGGAGTGTCAAGAGGAGAGTGTGGATGTGGAGTGTGAAGTGTGGAGTGGAGAGTAGAGAGTGTGAAGTCTGGAGTGTGGAGTGGGGTGGAGAGTTTGAAGATTTTGGAAGTGTGAAGTGTGATGTGGGAAGTGTGGAGTGTGAAGTGGAGAGTGTGATGCGTGGAGTGGAGAGTGGAGAGTGTGAAGTGTGGATTGTAAGTGTGGAGTGTGGAGTGGAGATTGTGATGCGTGGAGTGGAGAGTGTGGAGTCTGGGGTGTGATTACGCAGTGATTGCGAAGTGTGAAGTGTGGAGTTTGAAGTGTGGAGTGTGAAGTGGAGAGTGTGCAGTGTGGAGTGTGGAGTGGAGAGTGTGAAGTGTGGAGCGGGGAGTGTGGAGTGGAGAGTGTGAAGTGTGATGTGGGAAGTGTGGAGTGGAGAGTGTAAAGTGTGGAGTGGGGAGCGTGGTGTGGAGTGGAGTGTGGGGTGCTTCTCCAAACAGTTTGTATGCTGTTAGGATTCCTTTTCTCTCGCAGAGAGCCTAACTTTTGCGTTGTTTCCAAACGGAATTGAAGCGGAGGACTTGCATCGTCTCAAATTTGTCACTTTCCTTTGTGGTTGCCTGGGATGCCCACTTCGGACTGGCTACCTTGGGGTGGACGTTCCTGGTCCCAAAATTGCCCCCAGTGTGTTTCTACACTTCTTGTTCTTCTCCATTTGTGTTGTCTCCACTGGTCTTGGTACTTCGCACTGGTCCCACAACTGGGAATTGTGTCTCACAATTTGTGTGTCTCATCACTGCGCCGTGTTTTTTTGCTTTCCTTCTTGAGGCCTCTTTGGGACGCAGCTTTTCTCGTCTTTCCTATCCCACTCTCCACTCCCGTGATTGCCCTGGGCCAGTTTTCTTTCCGACAGGTCTCCCCACTTGGCTCTCCATTTGTCTCCCTTCTTGTGGCGGCTTTGCAACGGGGGAATTCCTACGCTTTTCATGTTTCGAACGATATCATTCGGTGTCCCTTGTGGCCGCAATGCTACTGCTAGTGACATATGTCATTTGGTAGTCATCATTGGTGTTTTCTGCAAAGTAAATTTTCAAGAAACAAGACCCGGGGCATATCATTCTTGTTTCGAGCACCGTGATGGACCTGGAAATTTTTGGCTTTCAGCAGTATTTTTGCCCGCGGAGCAGGTTTTGACACGGATGGAGCCGACGGAACCTGATGAGTTTTTCGTGATCGGATTGGACTCGTAGCAGTTGAGGTGTGATCAGCCACTTGGGCATCCGTGTGTTCATGTAGCCTGATTCAAGCACAAGACAGGCCGGAAGACGAGCCATGTTTTGCATCCAACATGCTAACCTGTTTGAACCCAAATGTGTTTCCCTTCCCATTAGCATTTCCTCCAAGGAGAAACCGTGTTGATGCAGCCCTTAGCATGCTCAGTGTGTCGCATATGCGTTGTGGAGAAACCAAGGCAGACAATATCTCCAAAGAGACTTGTTCATCTCATTGTCAAAAGTTTTCCTAGGAAAAAAGGCGATCGAACGGAGATCGACTTCGAATGTTCAGCAATGTCAAGGCAAAAAACCAAAGGCGGTGGCCCGAACAGCCGGCGTTTGTAAGCCCTTCTCTCCCAAACGATTGTGCTGTACTGGGCACTAGATCTTCTCTCTTGAAGCCGCGACGTTTTCGCTTCGCATCTTTCGTCCATTTTTATATGATTCGAAAAACGGCAACTGTCACATATCCCTTGTCCTCGCAATTTTACCTTGCTTCAGCTGGGGTTATGCCAGGTTTCAGATGAAAAGGTGCGACCTCTCCCGCCTCGATCTCGCGGATCTTGCTCAGACAGACTGCTGTGGACAGCCGTGTCGAAGTGATTGGGACAGTAGTTTGCTGAATTTGAATGTATTTTCGAACGCCTTGCAGTTGCTAAACATCTCAGAACTTTTGCCTCGTATCACTACGCATGATTTGTTTACATCATTCCACACGCAGTTCTTGCCTAGCAACTCCCATGGCAGCAATGTTTAGCGAAGCATCACTGATTTCTGCATGAAACCAATTTCGTTTCTGAATGGTGGGTGTGCAGATACTGCAGCAAGTTCGCCTTGAATGTTGCCACAAAGGAAAGGTTTCAGGCATCCCCATTGGCAACTTTTATTCAATGTTTTGGCCAGCGATGTGCAGTAACAAGGGATTCAGGCGATTCAGGGCGGTCAAAGGGGTCCGCGTGGCCGCGCAGCACAAGTTGCGTGGTTTTCAGAGTCAGGCTTCGGAACTGGGTCGCCAGGGGTCTGGAACGTGCTGCAAACCGTTGACTCTGAGCATTTGGGCATTTGTTTGGACCCCTCGCAGGCTTTCCACGACTAAGTGTGCAACCTTGTCAGATCTCCCGCTATTTGTTGGGGCGTAACACCTGAGAATGATATCAGCTTCCGCACGCACGGGGTGTTGATGAACTGTTGCATGTTAAAATTAAAATGCAATTGAAATTGTTGCAGGCCTGGTTTTGATCAAAGAGAGTCCAAGTCACATATTTTCCACCTAGGTAATAGCAGCAGGTCTGTCACCCCATCTGAATGGGTGGTCTTTTTCCCAGGAAGATTGCTTCCATCCAGATTTTGGCCATTGAATTCAGATCCCACTTTGCAGAAAGAGCAATTTACGATATTTAGAGGGTCAGAGATTTGCGGTTCTGATCTGCAGTAAGTTGCCGAGGTATGGGCGCTAGATGCGGGCTGTGTCCCGGGCTATGTTGCCTGGTCACCCCGGGGCCCGGCACTGTTTGCAGAAGCCATAGAAGTGATGCACAGCCAGAGGCCACATGCACTGTGTTCAAACCAATTTAACTGAGGTGCAGGTGATAGCCTTCCAAGAGTATCGGCAATGTTCAAGCGTTCTCTTGAAACATGAGCCCCGCGAATTATATAGTTCATTCAGTTGATGTGTTTGAAAGGCAACATTCCCTCAAAGTCGCCATACATAGTGAGACATGTGACCCCTCTGTCGTCCAATTTCGATGTGTCATCGGGACGCTCAAAGCCGACCAGGTGATCCACCGCAATGTTTTTTTTTGAATCCATTGCTTTCGCCATGTTAGCACATTGAAACTTATTCATTATAGGACATGTGTTCGGGCGCAAAACTACCTGCAGTACGCTGTACTTGGTCCTGGAAGCTGACAGCAAAAATTGGAACAATGATAGACAAACATGACTCAATCAGAATGAGCTGAAGGAGTTCAGCCCTGGTTGGCCCTCAGTTCTTAAAAAGTTGTTGCCGCACACATTTTGCGCCACGTCAAACCACATTGTTCATGGTTCACAGGTGCTTTAAGAATCCCCCCAAAAATTGCCACTCCATTATCAGGACCCCCGGGGGTCCGCCAAAACCATTTTTTTGGACAGCCTAAGTGCCTGCAAGGATATGCAATTACAGGTTCCTGATTTTGGAGAGGGAACATGTTGTAGTTGGCTGAAACTGTAGGTTCCTCATTCTGTAGAGGTTTTGGGGTGTGTCAACATTCATGTGCATAAATATATACCAATTATATTGATGTCAAAAACTGGAAATGTGGAACAGGAATTGCCTTTACAAAATGGATTTTTGTAAATTTCAGGGTTTTCAGGGGAGACCAGGGTTCTTTCACATCACCCCTCTACAAAATAGATCTTTGTATTTTTGAGGGCTTGCCTTATTCCAAGTAGCAATTCTGCTCAAATGTGTGCTCATGTCAGGTTCCCCACTTTGTAGAGGCCAGTGGCTCTGAAAATCACAAAAGTGCACCAAAAAAAGGGGGTTGGGTGCCCTGATTTTGTGGAGAAAACCCCTTGCTAGATTTGTGGCAGGTTCCTCATTCTGTAGAGCCGTGGCGCCCCAAAAGCCAGATTTGGCTCTACAAAATGGCCCCCAGGTCATCTTTTCGGGGTATCTTTAAGAGACAGTCCTGCAACATGCATCCTATCTGATCCTGACAGCGCCCAATTTTTACATGGTTTGCTGGTGCTTGTTGCAGTTGGGATCATTTTGGCATTTCAAAGCGACGAGCTTGTGACTTTAAAGCGGTGCCCATAGAGCAAGGGACTGGCAAGTCGCCGCCACCAAATGTCAGTTTTCTCTTGAAAAAATGCTGTCCAGGGCCCTCCAGCCATTTGCCAGTCACCGCCGGATCCCTTTGAGTGCAGCCTCGCCATGAAGCAACGGAGGCTCTCATGGTTTGTCCGGGCCCCTTGTCTGCACTCCGTTGTATCTTGAGATTTTTTGTGATGCCCAAATCCACCTTGCCGGTGATGAATGGGTGAGAGGAGACTGTTGTGTTGAAGTCTTTCAGCTCTGTTGAAGCTGTCCTACATGCGCAATCCCTGCAAACGTACCACGTTCAGGGTCTGTATCTCATCTTCTCATCTTCACACCTTCTCATCTTCACATACTAGTCTCTCTCACAACACATTCCATCATCTTTCATCTTATATAGTGCAGTGGACCCTTTCTCGGCTTTCACATCTTCTTTCTCACCTTCTCATCTTCACATCTTCTCTCTCACCTTCTCATCTTCACATCTTCTCTCACACCTTCTCATCTTCACACCCTCTCATCTTCACATCTTCTCTCACACCTTCTCATCTTTCACATCTTCTCTCCTCACCCCGTCTCATCGTCACATTTCTCTCACACCTTCTCATCTCACATTCGCTCCCCACCTTCTTATCTTCACATCTTCTCTCACACCTTCTCATCTTCACATCTTCTCTCCCACCTTCTCATCTTCACATCTTCACTCACACCTTCTCATCTTCACATCTTCTCTCACACCTTCTCATCTTCACATCTTCTCTCACACCTTCTCATCTTCACACCTTCTCATCTTCACATCTTCTCTCACACCTTCTCATCTTCAGTTCTTCTCTCACACCTTCTCATCTTCACACCTTCTCTCACACCTTCTCATCTTCACATCTTCTCTCTCTCTCACTCTCTCTCCTTTCTCTCTCTCCTTTCTCTCTCCTTTTTCTCTCTCGCCTTCTTTATCTTTCTCTCTTTAGGCCGAGGGTGGTACCGGCGGTGAGTCACGAAACGTCAACCCTTTCGCACGAAATGAGGGTCGATCGTCAAAAACTGAGGAAAAATTGCGATTTTACTTGTGCTAAAACAACCCTTTCGCACGAAATGAGGGTCGATCGTCAAAAACTGAGGAAAAATTGCGAGTTTACTTGTCCCGGAGCAACCCTTTCGCACGAAATGAGGGTCGATCGTCAAAAACTGAGGAAAAATTGCGATTTGACTTGCCCCGGAGCAACCCTTTCGCACGAAATGAGGGTCGATCGTCAAAAACTGAAGAAAATTGCGATTTGACTTGCCCCGGAGCAACCCTTTCGCACGAAATGAGGGTCGATCGTCAAAAACTGAGGAAAATTGGCGATTTGATTTGCACCGGAGCAACCCTTTCGCACGAAATGAGGGTCGATCGTCAAAAACTGAGGAAAAATTGCGAGTTTACTTGTCCTGGAGCAACCCTTTCGCACGATGTGTAAAAAGCGTCTGTGTGTAAAAGCGTCTGTGTGTAAAAGCGTCTGTGTGTAAAAGCGTCTGTGTGTAAAAGGGTCTGTGTGTAAAAGCGTCTGTGTGTGTAAAAGTCTCTGTGTGTAAAAGCGTCTGTGTGTAAAAGCCTCTGTGTGTAAAAGCGTCTGTGTGTCCAAGCGTCTGTGTGTAAAAGCGTTTGTGTGTAAAAGTGTCTGTGTGTAAAAGCGTCTGTGTGTAAAAGCGTCTGTGTGTAAAAGCGTCTGTGTGTAAAAGCGCCTGTGTGTAAAAGTCTCTGTGTGCAAAAGCATCTGTGTGTAAAAGCGTCTGTGTGTAAAAGAGTCTGTATGTAAAAGGGTCTGTGTGTAAAGCGTCTGTGTGTAAAAGGGTCTGTGTGTAAAGCGTCTGTGTGTAAAAGCGGTCTGTGGCTTAAGTAAACAGCGTCTGTGTGGGTTAAAAGCGTCTGTGTGCAAAAGCGTCTGTGTGTAAAGCGTGTGTGTGTAAAAGTGTTTGTGTGTAAAAGCTTCTGCGTGTAAAAGCGTCTGTGTGTAAAAGCGTCTGTGTGTAAAAGCGTCTGTGTGTAAAAGCGTCTGTGTGTAAAAGTCTCTGCGGGTAAAAGCCTCTGTGTGTAAAAGTCTCTGTGTGTGAAAGAGCCTGTGTGTAAAAAGCGTCTGTGTGTAAAAGCGTCTGTGTGTAAAAGCGTCTGTGTGTACAAGCGTTTGTGTGTAAAAGCAGCTCCTGTGTGTAAAAGGGTCTGTGTGTAAAAGCGTCTGTGTGTAAAAGCGTCTGTGTGTAAAAGACCCCTAAGCGGTGTTCAAAAATAAAATCAAGGCGCTTGAGCCCGAAATATTTTTAAATTTATTTTTCAGAAGGTGCTTATCATAAGTTTTGAGTAGGTCAGACCCCTATGATTTTATTTTTGGGACATGGGCCAAGACCAAGAACCAACCCCAATGCAGCTGGTGGAGTAGCTTTAGGTTGGGTCCCTTTGGTTTTATTTTTGCGTTTTGCTTACCTTTTTGTTTTGTTGGAACATGTTGGAACACACCTCTTGTGTTGGAATTGGTGGGTTTGGATATGTTTGGATTCAATATTTGATAGATTTTGGGGAAAATAAAATCCAAGGTTCCCAAGCTTGCAGGATTTTGTTGGGTAGTATGGTTGGAATATATTGAATCTATGCTTTGTTTGGTGGTCACTATTGTTTGGGCAGAAAAGGATGCAGCCAGAACAAACACGCCACAAACAAGAAAAAAAACTATGGATTGTGAACCGCCACAGTATTTGTTGTAGGATGTGATTGGGAAAGACGGAAACCAAAGACATACCGAGCCGGAGCAGCGAGAAAAGGAAGATGCGCGTTTTCAGCTGATTTCACAAACACATAGGCTGACCTTGAACCCCTTCAGTTTTATTTCTGGAACATTTTGGATGCTGGCTTGGAACCTTCTTGATTTTATTCCCGAGAGCGTCTGAGCGCAGGGTTCTTCCATGGGGGTCTGTATCTTATCTTCTCATCTTCACATCTTCTCATCTTCACATCTGTATCTCATCTTCTCATCTTCACATCTGTTCATCTTCACATCTGTTCATCTTCGCATCTGCTCATCTTCACATCTGCTCATCTTCACATCTGCTCACATCTGCTCATCTTCACATCTTCTCTCACATCTGCTCATCTTCACATCTGCTCATCTTCACAGCTTCTCTCACATCTTCTCATCTTCACATCTGCTCATCTTCACATCTTCTCTCACATCTGCTCATCTTCACATCTGCTCATCTTCACATTTGCTCATCTTCACATCTTCTCTAACATCTTCTCTCACATCTGCTCATCTTCACATCTTCTCTCACATCTGCTCATCTTCACATCTTCTCTCACATCTGCTCATCTTCACATCTGCTCATCTTCACATCTGCTCATCTTCACCCCTTCTCTCACATCTTCTCATCTTCACATCTGCTCATCTTCACATCTTCTCTCACATCTCTCTCACATCTTCTCTCACATCTGCTCATCTTCACATCTGCTCATCTTCACACCTTCTCATCTTCACATCTGCTCATCTTCACATCTTCATTCACATCTGCTCACATCTGCTTATCTTCACCTCTTCTCTCACATCTGCTCATCTTCACATCTGCTCATCTTCACACCTTCTCTCACATCTTCTCATCTTCACATCTGCTCATCTTCACATCTGCTCATCTTCACATCTTTTCTCACATCTCTCTCTCTCTCTTTTCTCTCTCTTTTCTCTCTTTCGCCTTCTTTATCTTTCTCTCTTTAGGCCGAGGGTGGTGCCGGCGGTGAGTCACGAAACGTCAACCCTTTCGCACGAAATGAGGGTCGATCGACAAAAACTGAGGTAAAATTGCGATTTTACTTGCCCCGGAGCAACCCTTTCGCACGAAATGAGGGTCGATCGGCAAAAACTGAGGTAAAAGTGCCTGGAGCAACCCTTTCGCACGAAATGAGGGTCGATCGGCAAAACTGAGGTAAAAGCGATTTTACTTGTCCGGAGCAACCCTTTCGCACGAAATGAGGGTCGATCGGCAAAAACTGAGGTAAAATTGCGATTTTACTTGTGCTGGAGCAACCCTTTCGCACGAAATGAGGGTCGATCGGCAAAAACTGAGGTAAAATTGCGATTTTACTTGTCCCCGGAGCAACCCTTTCGCACGAAATGAGGGTCGATCGGCGGTAAAAGCGTCTGTGTGTAAAAGCGTCTGTGTGTAAAAGCGTCTGTGTGTAAAAGCTTCTGTGTGTAAAAGCGTCTCTGTGTGTAAAAGTCTCTGTGTGTAAAAGCGTCTGTGTGTAAAAGCGTTGTGTGTCAAAGCGTCTGTGTGTAAAAGCGTCTGTGTGCAAAGTGTCGTGTGTGTCAAAGCGTCTGTGTGTAAAAGTGTTTGTGTGTAAAAAAAAGCGTTTGTGTGTAAAAGCCTCTGTGTGTAAATGTGTTTGTGTGTCAAAGCATCTGTGTGTAAAAAGTGTCTGTGTGTAAAAAGCGTCTGTGTGTAAAAGCGTCTGTGTGTAAATGTGTTTGTGTGTCAAAGCGTCTGTGTGTAAAAAGTGTCTGTGTGTAAAAAGCGTCTGTGTGTAAAAGTGTCTGTGTGTAAAGGCGTCTGTGTGTAAAAGGGTCAGTGTGTAAAAGCGTCTGTGTGTCAAAGCGTTTGTGTGTAAAAGCGTCTGTGTGTAAAAGTGTTTGTATGTAAAAGCTTCTGTGTGTAAAAGCTTCTGTATGTAAAAGCTTCTGTGTGTAAAAGCTTCTGTGGGTAAAAGCTTTGTGTGTAAAAGCGTCAGTGTAAAAGCGTCTGTTTGTAAAAGTGTTTGCGATGCAAACTATTGTTTTGCACTTCTCACTATCCTGTCTTGATACTCCTCTTCTCGACTGCCTATAACAGAGCTTTCATATATCGTTTCTAATATTGCGTCTCCATACTAACAAGAGAAGACCCTGCTCCTCTACGCTCTCGGGCCATCCGTCGTCTAGTTTCTGGAACCTCTTGATTTTATTTTTGCAAACCCCTCAGTTGGATGACTGGTGATTTTCATGATTTTCTCTTTGCGCAACGTGTGGGGTTGAACTCCCCTGATTTCATTTTTGCATTTTGGGGGTCAGTAGCCTGGGCCCCCTTGATTTCATTTTATTTTTCAGGGGCTCAACCCCACCTGGGTGCACCACAAGGGGATTGTAAAAGGCTCTGTGTGTAAAAGCGTCTGTGTGTAAAAGCATCTGTGTGTAAAAGAGCCTATGTGTAAAACGCGTTTGTGTGTAAAAGCGTCTGTGTGTAAAAGCGTCTGTGGGAAAAAACGTCTATGTGTAAAAGCTTCTGTGTGTAAAAGCTTCTGTGTGTAAAAGCGTCTGTGTGTAAAAGCGTCTGTGTGTAAAAGTGTTTGTGTGTAAAAGTGTTTGTGTGCAAAATCGTCTGTGTGTAAAAGAGCCTATGTGTAAAAAGCGTTTGTGTGTAAAAGCGTCTGTGTGTAAAAGCGTCTGTGTGTAAAAGCCTGTGTGTAAAGCTTCTGTGTGTAAAAGCTGTCTGTGTGTAAAAGCGTCTGTGTGTAAAAGAGCCTATGTTGTAAAAGCGTCTGTGTGTAAAAGCGTCTGTGTGTAAAAGCGTCTGTGTGTAAAAGCTTCTGTGTGTAAAAGCTTCTGTGTGTAAAAGCTTCTGTGTGTAAAAGTCTCTGTGTGTAAAAGTGTTTGTGTGTAAAAGTGTTTGTGTGCAAAATCGTCTGTGTGTAAAAGCGTCTGTGTGTAAAAGTCTCTGTGTGTAAAAGTCTCTGTGTGTAAAAGTCTCTGTGTGCAAAAGCGTCTGTCTGTAAAAAGTTCTGTGCATGAAAAACTTTACAAAAATACGATGCAAACTATTGTCTTGTACTAGTCATATATTGTCTTGATACTACTCTTCTCGTCTGCCTATAATACATCTTTAATATATTATCTTGTAATATAGTGTCTCCATACTAGCAACAGAAGACTCTGCTCCTCTACGCTCTCGGGCCATCCGTCGTCTAGTTTGTGATGCCCAAATCCACCTTGCCGGTGATGAACGGGTGAGAGGAGACTGTTGTGTTGAAGTCTTTCAGCTCTGTTGAAGCTGTCCTACATGCGCAATCCCTGCAAACGTTCCATGTTCAGGGTCTGTGAGACAGCCTGCAAGTTCTGGCTTTTGCGTGACAAGAGGTCTCTAGAAGGCCCATGGTTTGTTGTTAGTCTTGTCTCGGATCAATGTCTGTGCTCCAGCATGGTGACGTCTTGAACGCTCCCGCCCAGTGGAAAAGCTACCGATGGTAGAATGAACGTGGTACTAACGGCTCGTGGGACAAGGTGCAATGAACGTGGTGCTAGAGTGATTCAAGAGAATCAGTTAGCACTGCAGGCTCAGTGCTAGATTGCTTCCCGAAAACACGCAAATTGAGGGGCTGCCAAGCCGTGTAAGACCCCATTTAGCAAGACCGACAGAAACCAAGAAGTCTTGAGAAATAATTGTTTGGCTCTTCCGTTTCCGGTAGCTTGGGTGTGGCTGTTGGCTCCTAGTGACATTGGCCACAAGAAGCAGGCACATGTTTGCAATGTTTAGACATCGTCAGGCCCATTGGCCGACCCAGCATCATTTGATTGCCCAAAGCCTTGCGCTCCACGATTCCGTGGACAGAAGTTCAGCGAGTACATCATGGTACACCAAATGAGCAGCTGAAATGATTGGGATATATTGGCAAAGCAAAATGCGCCACGTCAAAAATCTTGATGAAAGGGTGTGAAAGGATTCCCGCAAAAGTGGCGACTTAGATTGCTTCCGCGAAAGCGAGTGCGAAGGTCATGGATTTCACATTTCGTCGAAGCATGGTTTTGCTGTTGGAGATGTTGAGCCATACTGCCGGATCTAATCGCTAGATATTGTAACAGGTGGGGTATCAGCAGGGAACTCATGTAGAGTCTTTCTTTCAGCAAATGCTAGCAATGGAAGCCTGCTTTCCTTGAGCTGTCGCCGAGCACATGTCTTGCGGAAAATTTGATAATTTTGGCGTGCCGTCACCTTTGGAAGTGAAAGCGGTTGCCTGCAGCCTTGTCAAGTCACAGCTGCCCGGCTCAACATATCTGACTGTTTGACTGGTCCTTTGCCCAAGGCGAATCCTGTGGTGACTGTGCCAAGCAAGCGAAACATCCTTATACCATCTTATACCGCTGAAGGGGATCTTTCGTGTTCACATTGTGGAAACATCAACTGCAACATGCTAAAGCCTTTGCAGCTGCACATGTTGCACCATCTTCAATTGTCCTTTGAGATGTCCCCAAGAGCAACGCAATCAACATGACCAGCCAGGCATTGTTTTTCAACCTGCTGATGGCAGAGGCTTCTTCGAATTGGAATGGTTATTGGCAAATCCCACACGCTGAAAAGGTGCCCTCGGCCATGGACATTCCAAAGCTCAGGAGATTGGCGCTCTGCGCGGTTCAATAAAGCACTTCTCAGAGTTTCAGCTGGCTGCAACGGGTCAGCTGCTTGGGTCGCAGGGGTTTTGATCAGATCCCACCTGTAGATCACAAAGAACGGTTGCGGTCGCAGTGGTCATGACGCAGCCTTCGCTCGATCCCGTTCTTTCACGTAGTAAGTCTATAGTAAGTCATGTTCTCGGACCAGCTGGCCTCAAAGACACGCCATATTTCTGTTTGATTGCCTTGAATTTCTGTATCCTTGCATGGTCACCCTGATCAGAAGCTCGATGCCATTTGCTTTTCACAGCCTGCCAAAGCCCAAAGCAAGCTCTGTACTCAGCACACAGACCCCATGGATGGTCTCACCAAGAAAGCTTGCAAGGCCAATGGGGCTCTCAGGTTGGACCCAACCTCTTTGACACATGATATCCAGTATTCCGATGCAAGTTGTCCGGGGGAAGGCCCACTTGGATTTGATGTGTCCTGAGCATTCAAAGCTTTCCATGCGGCTGGCCTGAAAGCTTTCCCTTTTCGGGCAAGATATGTTTAATCAATATTCAACATGTTTCAAGCTCAATTGCTTTGTTATGCAACGTTTTTAGCAAACTTCAGTGCCAAGCGAATCCCACATCACCAGTTCAAAGTTTTCCTGCAACAAGACTGCCGGCCTTTGTGCATTAGGCTCAATTATTGATGGCAGATCGTTGCCGTGTTACTTTGAGGCTTCATGTTGCAGCTACTTTGATGCTGACTCTTCGTGATACAGCAGAAAGGTGCCCGACTTATGTGAAGCTTGCGGAGGTTTCACCAGTATCCAAGGCGCAGGTGGAACATGTCAGGACTCTTGCGGCCGCTGATGTGTGCAAGGGGTTGGTAGGTGTTGGGTAGGGTCTTGACAAGTGGATGGTGCTGAAGTCATCCTGAGTCATCCCGAGCCCTGCACGCCTGGAGCTTCAGGTCACATAGATTGGAGCAAGTGTAGTTTGCACATGAAGTGCGTCTCGGGTCATGGTAATCATTGAGAAACTCCTGCATTATCCTTGAACATCGCATGGAACGCTTGCACCCTTCTGATCTGTCTGACCTGTGCTGTTTGCTTGTGGGGTCTTGTTGGGATTTCAAAATTTCAAAGCTGTGAAGCAAGGCGGTGTCCTCTTTGAGAGCTGGCAGTGGCCTATGCAAAGTCGAAAAGCATTGTTTTGGCATTCGATTCTGAATTTTGCGGCCAAAGTCAAGCAGAATTCTTGAGGTTCTGTCCAAGCGAGTGCAACCCTGCGAGACATGTAACATGCAACCTCATGGGCGGAGTCAGGTGGCAACCTGTTTGTCTCGAAACGCAGTATCTCTGCATGCTTGAAACCTAGCCTGCGAGCCGCATCGGTTCTTCAGATGCAATCAGCTTGGCTTAAATCCTTGCAAAGCTGGGAGGATGTGTCTCTTGTCCATGCTGTGCTTGCGCATTTTCAAGTCTAACAGGTGCAGGAAAGGTAATGCTGGCAGGCTTCAGGAAAGGCAATGCTAGCAGGCTTATTCACACGCATTCCTCGCCATACTTTTCCAAGAGGTTGTGCAATTCTTGTTTGTGCAGGTTTGGCTCTAGACTGCATTCTTGTCAGTTTCCAAATGAGTATCTTGATTGCTAACTTCAAAGGTGCCTCCTGGCAGAATAGTCTTGTTGATGCTGTGACAGTTGTGCTTCCGACGCTGGGTGAGGTTTTTGGGTCGGTGGCGACAGAAAAGCCTACATGCTGCTGGTGCTGCTTGAATCCTCAGCATTTTGGTGCTGAAATTGTCGGATTGCCCGGATTGAACATTCGGCAGCCTTTCTTTTGTCGCTGGAAGCTTAGCACCCTGGATTTGCTGCATAGCTATGGCTCAACTGACTGGTGTCCTCGGCCGGGATACCTTAGAATTTCTTCTAAGTTGTTCTATATTTTTTCACAATCCCAGCGTGTCCACCGTTGGTACAAGGGAATCCTCTAAATTTTGGAGGCGGCCCAAGCCACGTGTCTTCAATGTCTGCGATATAGAGATGCGATAGAAGCGAGGTGCAAGGCTCCGATGCTTCGAGTTAGATTCTTTCTCCTGTCAACATCAAGTAGAATGGCTGTTCCGGACAAGTCCGCGAGTCACACAATTCTCTATGCAATCATTGGCGTCAAATATCAGGAACCTGTGAGATATGTAACATGCAAACTCATGGGCGGAGGCAGTTGGCAACCTTTTTGTCTCAAACGCAGTATCTCTGCATGCTTGAAACCTAGCCTGCGAGCCGCATCGCTTGTTAAGATGCAATCAGCTTGGCTTAAATCTCTGCAAAGCTGGGAGGACGTGTCTCTTATCCATGCTGTGCTTGCGCATTTTCAAGCCTAGCAGAGGCAGGAAAGGAATGCTGGCAGGCTTCAGGAAAGGTAATGCTGGCAGGCTTATTCGCATGCATTCCTCGTTTTACTTTTCCAAGAGGTTGCGCCATTCTTGTTTGTGGAGGTTTGGCCCTACGCAGACTGCCTCCTAGCAGTTGTGCTCATGCTTTCAAGTTTGCAATCGAATCCACGTCAATCCAATTTTGCTGGTAAAGCTTCTCAAAAAATTCGGAACGTTTAGAATATGTGATCGCCTGGGCTGTCCGTCACGGCTTGGAAGATACCTGGTTCTGTGGGTCAGACCGTGGCGGGGCTTTGCCCCCTGTCAGAGGCAGCAGCTGCCCATCATGGGCCATTCCGTCCTTTAAGAGTCTCTGATGCGCAACTGGTTTGCTGCAACTGGGTAATGCTGCCGACTCTTGGAGTTAGAAAGACATAGAAAGACAGATGTATCACAAAGAAATGTTGCAGCCCTCCAGCGCCAGGCTGCTGCAAACGAAGTGATCACAGCCCTGCCCAGGGGTTGTCGTGCAGCTCTACCGAAGGCATGTCGTGCAAAGACACCATGCAGAGTGAGTGTTGTTGCCGTTACCGTTCGTGCTGCTGGCGCAAGTGGCACTTGGGATATTTACAGCCAAATTGCCAGCCGACTCAAGTCTCTACAGGCGCGCGATTCAGCTGATCACTGTCGGCACGACGATCGCAAGGTTTCGTGTGAACGTCTTGGCGGGTGCCAAGGGCGGCCGGACGGTCGAGGACCACCTCGCGAGGAGAATTGTTCCAGCGACTTTTGCAGCGAGGAAAAGGATAGCTTGTGCCACAACCCATTAGGCCCCTGGGATGTTTTTTACGGGGTCTGGGGGTGGAGTCTTGTTTGCGGGTCGTTGCGTGTTGCGGGTCTCTAATCGACCCTTGCTGTACCCATAGGAATTGCTATAAAAAGTTACATTTTCAAGTTGCGAACGTAGCAGGTGCGGGACTTCGTGGACTGAGGCGTGAAGTGGCGCGCGGGTCTCTAAATCGTGTGGCTCGCCGTGTCTCTAAGATTTTCTGATGTTTTGAAGTTGCGAAAATGTATTCGACGTGGCAGGCGTGGGACTTCGTGGCAATCAGGACAAGAGTGTGCAGTGTGGAGTGTGGAGATATGGAGTGGAGAGTGTGAAGTGTGGAGTGCGGAGTGTGAAGTGTGGAGTGGAGAGTGTGAAGTGTGGAGTGTGAAGCTTGGAGTGTGAAGTGGAGAGTGTGAAGCGTGGAGTGGAGAGTGTGAAGTATGAAGTGTGAAGTGTGAGTTTTGAAGTGTGGAGTGTGAACTGTGAATTGAAGAGTGTGAAGTGTGGAGTGTGAAGTGTGGAGTGTCAAGAGGAGAGTGTGGAGTGTGGAGTGTGAAGTGTGGAGTGGAGAGTAGAGAGTGTGAAGTTTGGAGTGTGGAGTGGGGTGGAGAGTTTGAAGATGTTTGAAGTGTGAAGTGTGATGTGGGAAGTGTGGAGTGTGAAGTGGAGAGTGTGATGCGTGGAGTGGAGAGTGGAGAGTGTGAAGTGTGGAGTGTAAGTGTGGAGTGTAAGTGTGGAGTGTGGAGTGGAGATTGTGATGCGTGGAGTGGAGAGTGTGGAGTCTGGGGTGTGATGATTGCGAAGTGTGAAGTGTGGAGTTTGAATTTTGGAGTGTGAAGTGGAGAGTGTGCAGTGTGGAGTGAGGAGTGTGAAGTGCGGAGTGGAGAGTGTGAAGTGTGGAGTGTGGGAGTGTGGAGTGGAGAGTGTGAAGTGTGAAGTGTGATGTGGGAAGTGTGGAGTGGAGAGTGTAAAGTGTGGAGTGGGGAGCGTGAAGTGTGGAGTCTGAAGTTTGGAGTGTGAAATGTGGAGTGTGGAGTGTGATGTGGGAAGTGAGGAGTGTGGTGTGGAGTGTGGAGTGTGGGGTGCTTCTCCAAACAGTTTGTATGCTGTTAGGATTCCTTTTCTCTTGCAGGGAGCCCAACTTTTGCGTTGTTTCCAAACGGAATTGAAGCGGAGGATTTGCATCGTCTCAAATTTGTCACTTGCTTGCGCCCCTACTTTGCTCTTCATTCTTCCTTTGTGGTTGCCTGGGGCGCCCACTTCGGACTGGCTACCTTGGGGTGGACGTTCCTGGTCCCAAAATTGCCCCCAATGTGTTTCTACACTTATTGTTCTTCTCCATTTGTGTTGTCTCCACTGGTCTTGGTACTTCGCACTGGGCCCACAACTGGGAATTGTGTCTCACAATTTGTGTGTCTCATCACTGCGCCGTGTATTTTTGCTTTCCTTCTTGTGGCCTCTTTGGGACGCAGGTTTTCTCGTCTTTCCTATCCCACTCTCCACTTCCGTGACTGCCCTGGGCCAGTTTTCTTTCCGACAGGTCTCCCCGCTTGGCTCTCCATTTGTCTCCCTTCTTGTGGCGGCTTTGCAACGGGGGAATTCCTATGCTTTTCATGCTTCGAGCGATATCATTCGGTGTCCCTTGTGGCCGCAATGCGACTGACATATGTCATTTGGTAGTCATCATTGGTTGTCGCGTTTCCAATATGTTTTCTGCAAAATAAATTTCCAAGAAGCAAGGCCCGGGGCATTTGGATCATTCTTGTTTCGAGCACCGTGATGGACCTGGAAGTTTTTGGCTTTCAGCAGTATTTTTGCCCGCGGAGCAGGTTTTGACACTGATGGAGCCGACGGAACCTGATGAGTTTTTCGTGATCGGATTGGACTCGTAGCAGTTGAGGTGTGATCAGCCACTTGGGCATCCGTGTGTTCATGTAGCCTGATTCAAGCACAAGACAGGCCGGAAGACGAGCCATGTTTTGCATCCAACATGCTAACCTGTTTGAACCCAAATGTGTTTCCCTTGCCATTAGCATTTCCTCCAAGGAGAAACCGTGTTGATGCAGCCCTTAGCATGCTCAGTGTGTCGCATATGCGTTGTGGAGAAACCAAGGCAGACAATATCTCCAAAGAGACTTGTTCATCTCATTGTCAAAAGTTTTCCTAGGAAAAAAGACGGTCGAACGGAGATCGACTTCGAATGTTCAGCAATGTCAAGGCAAAAAACCAAAGGCGGTGGCCCGAACAGCCGGCGTTTGTAAGCCCTTCTCTCCCAAACGATTGTGCTGTACTGGGCACTAGATCTTCTCTCTTGAAGCCGCGACGTTTTCGCTTCTCATCTTTCGTCCATTTTTATATGATTCGAAAAACGGCAACTGTCAGATATCCCTTGTCCTCGCAATTTTACCTTGCTTCAGCTGGGGTTACGCCAGGTTTCAAATGAAAAGGTCCGACCTCTCCCGGACAGACTGCTGTGGACAGCCGTGTCGAAGTGATCGGGACAGTAGTTTGCTGACTTGAGTGTATTTTCGAATGCCTTGAAACTGCTAAACATCTCAGAACTCTTGCCTCGTATCACTACGCATGATTTGTTTACATCATTCCGCGCGCAGTTCTTGCCCAGCAACTCCCACGGCAGCAATGTTTAGCGAAGCATCACTGATTTCTCCAAGAAACCAATTTCGTTTCTGAATGGTGGGTGTGCAGATACTGCAGCAAGTTCGCCTTGAATGTTGCCACAAAGGAAAGGTTTCAGGCATCCCCATTGGCAACTTTTATTCAATGTTTTGGCCAGCGATGTGCAGTAACAAGGGATTCAGGCGATTCAGGGCGGTCAAAGGGGTCCGCGCGGCCGAGCAGCACAAGTTGCGTGGTTTTCAGAGTCAGGCTTCGGAACTGGGTCGCCAGGGGTCTGGAACGTGCTGCAAACAGTTGACTCTGAGCATTTGGGCATTTGTTTGGACCCCTCGCAGGCTTTCTACGACTGAGTGTGCAACCTTGTCAGATTTCCCGCTATTTGTTGGGGCGTAACACCTGAGAATGATATCAGCTTCCGCACGCACGGGGTGTTGATGAACTGTTGCATGTCAAACGAACTTTAAAATTAAGATGCAATTTGCAGGCCTGGTTTTGATCAAAGAGAGTCCAAGTCACATATTTTCATATATTTTCCATCTAGGCAAGAGCAGCAGGTCTGTCACCCCATCTGAATGGGCGGTCTTTTTTCCAGGAAGACTGCTTCCATCCAGATTTTGGCCATTGAATTCAGATCCCACTTTGCAGAAAGATCAATTTACGATATTTAGAGGGTCAGAGATTTGCGGTTCTGATCTGCAGTAAGTTGCCGAGGTATGGGCGCTAGATGCGGGCTGTGTCCCGGGCTATGTTGCCTGGTCACCCCGAAACCCGGCACTGTTTGCAGAAGCCATAGAAGTGATGCACAGACAGAGGCCACATGCACTGCGTTCAAACCAATTTAACTGAGGTGCAGGTGATAGCCTTCCAAAAGTATCGGCAATATTCAAGCGTCTCTTGTTTCGAGAGCCCCATTAGTTCATTTAGTTGATGGAAAGGCAGTTTTTATTTATAGGGAATTAGGGGGTATTTATTATTAGGGTTCCCCCTAATAGTAAATTTTAAACCTTGTTACGCCTGAACTAGCACATTGAAACTTATTCATTATAGGACATGTGTTCGGGCGCAAAACTACCTGCAGTACGCTATACTTAGTCCTGGAAGCTGACAGCAAAAACTGGAACAATGATAGACAAAGATGACCCGAGCTTGAGTGCAGCCTCGCCATGAAGCAACGGAGGCTCTCATGGTTTGTCCGGGCCCCTTGTCCGCAATCCGTTGTATCTTGATTTTTTTTGTGATGCCCAAATCCACCTTGCTGGTGATGAACGGGTGAGAAGAGACTGTTGTGTTGAAGTCTTTCAGCTCTGTTGAAGCTGTCCTACATGCGCAATCCCTGCAAACGTACCACGTTCAGGGTCTGTGAGACAGCCTGCAAGTTCTGGCTTTTGCGTGACAAGATGTCTCCAGAAGGCCCATGGTTTGTTGTTAGGTCTTGTCTCGGATCAATGTCTTTGCTCCAGCATAGTGACGTCTTGAACGCTCCCGCCCACTGGAAAAGCTATCGATGGTAGAATGAATGTGGTACGAGAAGGTGCAATGAACGTGGTACTAGAGTGATGCAAGAGAATCAGTTAGCACTGCAAGCTCAGTGCTAGATTGCTTCCCGAAAGCACACAAATTGAGGGGCTGCCAAGCCGTGTAAGACCCCATTTAGCAAGACCGACAGAAACCAAGAAGTCTTGAGAAATAATTGTTTGGCTCTTCCGTTTCCGGTAGCTTGGGTATGGCTGTTGGCTCCTAGTGACATTGGCCACAAGAAGCACGCACATGTTTGCAATGTTTGGAGATCGTCAGGCCCATTGGCCGACCCAGCATCATTTGATTGCCTAAAGCCTTGCGCCCCACGATTCTGCGGACAGAAGTTCAGCGAGTACATCATGGTACACCAAATGAGCAGCAGAACTGATTTATTATATGGCAAAGCAAAATGCGCCACGTCAAACATTTTGATGAAAGGTTATACCTGGACAGTCCTTGAGCCACATAATTTTCGATCTTTGTGGATTTTCGGGTGCGGGCCTAAAAATCACTTTTGGGCTGAGAGTGATGGATTCAATGACACAGTTTTGGTGTCAAAAAGTTGGTGTTTCGCGTCTTTTCTGCGTCATTTTGCGTCATATTTTTGGTCCTTCCAAATGTGACTGACAGAGGGCAAATTCAGCAATTGTTCGATTTTTGGTCGCTCACTACTTTTCAGCCCAGACCAAAACAAAATGCAGCTTTTGGATGTCCAGGTATGAAAAGAATCCCGCAAAAGTGGCGACTTGGATTGCTTCCGCGAAAGCGAGCGCGAAGGTCATGGATATCACATTTCGTGGAAGCATGGTTTTGCTGTTGGAGATGTTGAGCCATACCGCCGGATCTGATCGTTACCCTCTGGTAAACTAACATAGCTATTGAAAATTGCCATTTATAGTGGATTTACCCATTGAAACTTGTGATTTTCCATAGTTAGATTAGTATACCAGAGGGTAGATATTGTAGCGGGTGGGGTATCAGCAGGAAACTCATGTAGAGTCTTTCTTTCGGCACATGCTACCAATGGAAGAAGCGCAGGGCGCAGAACTTGCAGTGGGATGTGCCGCGTTCCTGCTTTCCTTGAGCTGTCGCCGAGCACATGTCCCGCGGAAAATTGGATCATTTTGGCGTGCCGTCACCTTTGAAAAAGTGAAAGCGGTTGCCTGCGGTCTTGTCAAGTCACAGCTGCCCGGCTCAACATATCTGACTATTTGACTGGTCCTTTGCCTTTGCTGATCGTCTCAGTTTCCGAAAAAGCCAACGCAAATGTTCAGGGATCTGGTTGAAGTCTGCTTTATCTTGAGAGCCCGTCAGTTGCCCAAGGCGGTCGCCCAAGGCGAATCCTGTGGTGACTGTGCCAAGCACGTGCAACATCCTTATACCATCTTATACCGCTGAAGGGGATCGTTTGTGTTCACTTTGTGGAAACATCAACTGTAACATGCTAAAGCCTTTGCAGCTGCACATGTTGCACCATCTTCAATTGTCCTTGCTGGCAGTGGCCTATGCAAAGTCGACAAGAATTGTTTTGGCATTCGATTCTGAAATCTGCGACCAAAGTCAAGCGGAATTCTTGAGGTTCTGTCCAATCAAGTGCAACCCTGCGAGACATGTAACAAGCAACCTCATGGGCGGAGGCAGTTGGCAACCTGTTTGTCTCTCATGCAGTGTCTCTGCATGCTTGAGACCTCTTCAGATGCAATCAGCTTGGCTTTCTTCCCTTGCAAAGCTGGGAGGACGTGTCTCTTGTCCATGCTGTGCTTGCGCATTTTCAAGCCTAACAGGCGCAGGAAAGGTAATGCTGGCAGGCTTCAGGAAAGGTAATGCTGGCAGGCTTATTCACACGCATTCCTCGCCATACTTTTCCAAGAGGTTGCGCCATTCTTGTTTGTGCAGGTTTGGCGCTAGACTGCATTCTTGTTTCTTGTCAGTTTCCGAATGAGTATCTTGATTGCTGACTTCAAAGGTGCCTCCTGGCAGAATAGTCTGTTGATGCTGTGACAGTTGTGCTTCCGACGCTGGGTGAGATTTTTGGGCCGGTGGTTGCAAAAAGCCTACGTGCTGCTGGTGCTGCTTGAATCCTCATAGAGATGCGATAGACGCGAGGTGCCAGGCTTGTTCTCCTGCACCTAGGATGGCGCGGGCTTCCGAATAGGCTTTGATTGGATTGTTCGAACTTGTCCAGTTCCCAGTGGATGTTTGGCAGATGGAGGTTTGACCTCGCCTCCCCGATCCCGCTTGCTCGCGAAGCGCATTGTTGACAACGAGCTCTTGGTTGAGGCGTGAACGGGTGAGAGAGAGGGGAGAGACGAAAAGGAGGTTGGGAAAAGAGTTGAAAGTGCTTGGAGTTGCTGAAAGGGCAGTGAAAAGAATCACATGCACACTGCAATGTGGTTCCTCGGCATGGCTTTCTGGTTTCCTATTCTTTCTTTTCTTGGTTGAGCGATCCGGATGTGTGCTGCCAGGCAAAGCGTGTTCAACGACCTCAACCTGGGCAACGACGTTTTCGTTTTTCAGACGACCTCACTTAATTTCATTTCAAATTATTGAAAACAAGGGACGACCCAAGAAATATTGTAAATTGGTCAGGATGATCATTGGCGTCAAATCTCAGGAACCTGTGAGACATGTAACGTGCAAACTCATGGGCGGAGGCAGTTGGCAACCTGTTTGTCTGAAACGCAGTGTTTCTGCATGCTTGACACCTAGCCTGCGAGCCGCATCGGTTCTTCAGATGCAATCAGCTTGGCTTAAATCCTTGCAAAGCCTTGAGGACGTGTCATTTGTCCATGCTGTGCTTGCGCATTTTCAAGCCCAACAGGTGCAGGAAAGGTAATGCTGGCCGGCTTCAGGAAAGGTAATGCTGGTAGGCTTACTCGCACACATCACATTCCTGGTCATACTTTCCCAAGAGGTTGCCGCAATTCTTGTTTGTGCAGGTGGCCCTCCGTAGACTGCCTCCTGGCAGTTGTGCTCATGCTTTCAAGTTTGCAATCGAATGCGCGTCAACCGAATTTTGCTGGTAAAGCTTCTCAAAAAATCGGAACGTTTAGAATTCGTGATTGGACCGAATGGCCTGTCCCTCACGGCTGACAAGATACCTGGTTCTGTGGCTCAGACCTTGGCGCAGCTTTGCCCCCCGTCAGAGACAGCAGCTGCCCATCATGGGTTGGTTTGCCCATTCCGTCCTTTAAGAGTCTCTGATGCACAACTGGTTTGCTGCAACTGGGTAATGCTGCCGACTCTTGGAGTTAGAAAGACATAGAAAGACGGATGTATCACAAAGAAATGTTGCAGCCCTCCAACGCCAGGCTGCTGCAAACCAAATCATGGCAATCCTGCCCAGGGGTTGTCGTGCAGCTCTACCGAAGGCATGTCGTGCAAAGACACCATGCAGAGTGAGTGTTGTTGCCGTTACCGTTTGTGCTGCTGGCGCAAGTGGCACTTGGGATATTTACAGCCAAATTGCCAGCCGACTCAAATCTCTACAGGCGCGCTATGCAGCTGATCACTGTCGGCATGTCGATCGCAAGGTTTCGTATGAACGTCTTGGCGAAGAGCCACACCAAGAGGCCGAGCGGTTCTCGTTGTCCAGGGTGGAAAGCATGAGCAGAGGATCATGAGATTAAATGATTTGCGGCAAAAAATATAGAAATTAATTGCTCTTGTCCGGAATGAAGACTAATGAAGCAGAAAACGGTAGGAACAGGTAGCCGCAGGTGATTGGTACTTGTGCAACCACTGTGCTAGGGCGAACCTTTTAAGTTACTTTAAGGAGATGTAAGGAGTAAGCAGCCCTAGTGACTTGGACTTGCCATTTTCTTGTGACAGGTGAGTGGGCGGCCTGATGCACAACAGCTTCCGCTTAGAGGAAAATGGAGATAGGCGCGTCTTGGCCATATAAATCGCTAGGCAGATCTGGTGGCAGTGGGCTTGCACGATTCCATGCAGCAGGTTTATGTTTTAAGCGCTTTTCGGTCTTGTCTTCCTAGTTGTCCTGCTACTGCATGTCACTCCGCAAGGTATGAGCTACGGTTTCCGAAGTGGAAATTGGTTTCTATCAGTTTCAATCCTCCCCTGATATCAATCAAGTCTAAATATCACCCTGAAAATATGGTTTTGTTTGGGCTCCGAAACCTTGGATGTGCATTCCTGCGTCCCTGCCACTTTTCTCTTCTCCGCATTTTGGGCTGGAGAAACTCCAAGCGTTGCGAGCGTCAGCGCTTCGGCGTCATGGCGGTCTGCTGTGGTGCAGATATGTTGGCTACGAAGGTGGGGGAAGCCAAGCCGGTGATCATGCAGCGACTGGTGGAGGAGATACCAGTGGTCGGTCTGAATGCCTGGTGCTTGGGTATGCTAGTTTTGGGGTGCTTAACTAAGACCTCCCACAAAATGCCAAAATCAATGGTTCTAATTCTAAGATATCTGTTTCCAGCACGTTTTTCAAAGGGTCACAATCCCCAAAGTGGAGGATGAAAGAAGAAACGCGTGGAAAAGATGTCCTTCTAGAATTCTTTTTTAAACTTTAAACGCGAACATTTTTTCTCACTTGGCAGGTGGGGGTCTCTCAATTTTATGTCGTCTGCTCCTCCCCCGCTCCTCGTCCACCACCCCTCCGCTCTTCGTCCCTCCACCTGCGGAGCGCACCTCTTGTGCCTCTGCGCCGCTCAGCTATAGCTCAAGCTCAGCCCATCGCCGGACCCGAATTTTATCGCATTGTATCGCGAACCGAACCTGCGCGCTATCCTGGCTCTGCAGCTTGCCGGACGCGAATATTATCAACTAGACTGTCAGATATAGACAGTCAGGTCAAATGTCAGATAAAATGCCTGTTGGTGGGGGTCACTCGAAGTAAGTAAGACTAGACGACGGTTGGCCCGAGAGCGAAAAACGCATTTTTCAAGCAGCTCTGAGTATGGTAGTCGTAAAAAATAGTCGGTGAATGGTTGGTGAAGTTTATATGAGCTATGGAGGGATAGGTTGTGAAAAGTAAGATTGATTAAGAAGAGGATACATGTGATAACCTATGCACATGCACTGTGCTGCTTGGTAAAGGGCATCGTATGACACATGACGTGCAACCACAGAGAGACATAGGTAGAGAGAGAGAGAGAGGGAGAGGGCGAGAGAGAGGGAGAGGGAGAGAGACGGAGAGATAGAAAGAGGGGGAGACGAGAGAGAGGGAGAGAGAGAGCAGGGTCTTCTGTTGTTAGTATTGAGACACTATATTACAAGACAATACATTAAAGGTGAATTTTTGCACAGAAGCCGTTACACACAGACGCATTTCCACAGACACGTTTACACGCAAACACTTTAACACACAGACGCTTTTATACACAGACACTTTTACACACATACGCTTTTGCATGCAGATGCTTTTTACACAAGCACACACTTTCACACACAAACGCTTTTACACACAGACGCTTTTGCACACAGATGCTTTTCCACACAGAAGCTTTTACATACAGAAGCTTTTACACACAGACGCTCCAGCGTATATAGAAACTTTTACACACAGACACTTTCACACAGAGACGTTTCTCATGCACACACACACACACACGGACGCATTTCCACAGAGACACTTTTACACGCAAACACTTCAATACACAGACGCTTTTATACACAGACACTTTTACACAAATACGCTTTTACATGCAGATGCTTTTTACACAAGCACGCACACTTTCACACACAAACGCTTTTACACACAGACGCTTTTGCACACAGATGCTTTTCCACACAGAAGCTTTTACATACAGAAGCTTTTACACACAGACGCTTTTACACACAGACGCTTTTACACGCAGACGCTTTTACACGCAGATGCGTTTTACACACGCACACACGCTTTCACACACAAACGCTTTTACACACAGACGCGTTTACACACAGACGCTTTTACACACAGATGCTTTTACACGCAGATGCTTTTTACACAACACAGACGCTTTGACACACAAAAGCCTTTACACACAAACGCTTTTACACACAGACGCTTTTACACACAGACGCTTTTACACACAAAAGCTTTTACACACAGACGGTTTTACACACAGACGCTTTTACACGCAGACGCTTTTACACGCAGATGCGTTTTTCACACGCACACACGCTTTCACACACAAACGCTTTTACACACAGACGCGTTTACACACAGACGCTTTTACACGCAGATGCTTTTTACGCACGCACACACGCTTTCACACACAAACGCTTTTACACACAGACGCTTTTACACACGGACACTTCAAGACAAAGACGCTTTTACACACAGACATTTACACACAGACGCTTATACACATAAATGCTTTTACACACAGACACTTTTGCACAAACGAAAGCGTCCATCGCAATTCTTCCTCAGTTTTTGACGTCCAACGTCCATTTCGTGCGAAAGGGTTGCGATTGACCAAGTAAAATCGCAATTTTTCCTCAGTCTTTGACGTCCAACGTCCATTTCGTGCGAAAGGGTTGCGATTGACACCTCAAAGTCGCAATTTTTCCTCAGTTTTTGACGTCCAACATCCATTTCGTGCGAAAGGGTTGCGATTGACTAAGTAAAATCGCAATTTTTCCTCAGTTTTTGACGTCCAACGTCCATTTCGTGCGTAAGGGTTGCGATTGACACCTCAAAGTCGCAATTTTTCCTCAGTTTTTGACGTCCAACGTCCATTTCGTGCGAAAGGGTTGCCGGTGACACCTCAAAGTCGCAATTTTTCTCAGTTTTTGACGTCCAACGTCCATTTCGTGTGAAAGGGTTGCGATTGACTAAGTAAAATCGCAATTTTTCCTCAGTTTTTGACGTCCAACATCCATTTCGTGCGTAAGGGTTGCGATTGACACCTCAAAGTCGCAATTTTTCCTCAGTGTTTGACGTCCAACGTCCATTTCGTGCGTAAGGGTTGCGATTGACACCTCAAAGTCGCAATTTTTCATCAGTTTTTGACGTCCAACGTTTATTTCGTGCGAAAGGGTTGCCGGTGACACCTCAAAGTCGCAATTTTTCTCAGTTTTTGACGTCCAGCGTCCATTTCGTGCGAAAGGGTTGCGATTGACTAAGTAAAATCGCAATTTTTCCTCAGTTTTTGACGTCCAACGTCCATTTCGTGCGAAAGGGTTGCGCGCGACGCTTCAAAATCGCAATTTTACCTAGGTTTTGGACGTCCAACGTCCATTTCGTGCGAAAGGGTTGCGTTTCGTGGCGCTCCGGCGGCACCGCCCCCGCCTTAAGAGAGAATAGAATAAGAGCGAGAGGAGATCTGCAGATGTGAAGGTGTGAAGATGTAGATCTGCAGATGTGAGGGTGTGAAGATCTAGATCTGCAGGTGTGAAGGTGTGAAGATCTAGATCTGCAGGTGTGAAGGTCTGAAGATCTAGATCTGCAGGTGTGAGGGTGTGAAGATGTAGATCAGCAGATGTGAAGGTGTGAAGATGTAGATCTGCAGGTGTGAAGGTGTGAAGATCTAGATATGCAGGTGTGAAGGTGTGAAGATCTAGATCTGCAGGTGTGAAGGTGTGAAGATCTAGATCTGAAGATCTAGATCTGCAGATGTGAGGGTGTGAAGATCTAGATCTGCAGGTGTGAAGTTGTGAAGATCTAGATCTGCAGGTGTAAGGTGTGAAGATGTAGATCTGCAGATGTGAGGGTGTGAAGATCTAGATCTGCAGGTGTGAAGGTGTGAAGATCTAGATCTGCAGGTGTGAAGGCGTGAAGATCTAGATCAGCAGATGTGAGGGTGTGAAGATGTAGATCGGCAGATGTGAAGGTGTGAAGATGTAGATCTGCAGGTGTGAAGGTGTGAAGATGTAGTATAACGGCTGCTTTTTTACGAAGAACCCTTCGCAGGCGCTCTCGGGAATAAATAGTTTTCTTTCCACAAGGCGACAACGCCATATTTTTTCAAAAATTGCTTGCGTAATGCTTGCGTGCTGTTTAGTTTCTTTCAAATGGAACCCAACCCAACGATGGAAATTGTTCAATCCATTCATTGATGGCCATCACCAGGTTATAACATGTTATAACCACAGATAACGAAAATATTCAATAAACAACATTTTGTTGGTGATTCAGCCGCCGGTCTAAACTTACAAGCACCCATAGACTTGATTATTTTGATGCTAAAATTGCGGTTTGTAGCCATGAAATAACAGAACATGTTGGTTGAATCACTTTTGCTGGTTCAATCCCCGTTTCCAGCCGCACGTGCGCCTATCGGTTTGGATAAAAACCTATTACGCCATATTTTTCGGGGTTGCACATCCAATCAATCCCATCTATTTTGATGTGAGCAGGAGGGGCCTGCATATATATACCAGTAGTACCCGCACGAGGCGGGGCGGAAGTTGCCTTAAAGATATATATATATAAGACTTTTCTCATCTATAGAACTTGCATGCGCCGTGCGCCAGCCAAGCCCGTGCGTGCGTGCACTCTGCGAAAGTTGTGTCCTGCTTCACATGTCACATGTGAAGCTCCACTTCGCACTTCCCACTTCTCACTGCAGTCTTCACACTCCGCACTTCACACTTCACACTCCACACTTCACACTGCACTCTTAAGACTCCACACTTCACACTCCACACGTCACACTCCACACTTCACACGTCACACTGC